GGAGCGTGGTGGGGGGGGGGGGGGGGGGGGGGAATACAATACAATTACTTAACTTAAAATAACTGTTTTCTATCTTAATGTATTTTTAAATTGTATTTTATTCCTGTGATGCAAAGCTGAATTTTCAGCATCATTAGTCTTCAGTGTCACATGATCCTTCAGAAATCATTCTAATTTGCTGATTTGCTTTTAACAATGTTGAAAACAGTTGTGCTGCTTCATATTTTTGTGGAAACTGACTTTTTTTCAGGATTATTACATGAATAGAAAGTTCAAAAGAATAGCAGAATAAAATAATTTAGTAACATTATAAATGTCTTTACTGTCACTTTTGATCAGTTTAATGCATTCATTCTAAATATAAATATAAATTTCTTAAAATCTTTCTGACCCCAAACTTTTGAATGGTAATGTATTTTGTAACAGTAAGGTAACACGTGATTGAGAAATGGGAGTGTAATTTTTTCAGTGAGTGTCTGTACATCTGTCCGCTGTCCCCTGTATGCCGACACAGCAAATATTTTTGTGTTTTGCAGATGGGATTCTTCAGGAGGCATTACAGAGAGATCATAGAGGCCGAAAAGAACAGGAAGGACAGCGATGAAAGCTGGGATTGGGTCCAGAAGAGCCAATGAATGCTTGGACTGGGTTCAGAAAATCCAATAAGCTGCTACCTTCACCACGGCAAGACCCAGACCCTCCAGCCTTCCATATGTGGAAGAAAAGAATATTCTCCAGATTTTTCGGAGGTTTGACACTTTTTTTGTAGTTGATGGTGATCTAGCTGATGTTGGAGGTGACCGTGTGGCCTGCCAGAAGAGACTCGCAGTGGAATTCCACTGATCCCAATCGGACAGGCCTCTTGCCAGTGGGTCTGAAGAGACGGAAAGAGAGACTTCCTAAGCTTAAGAGTATTATTTGTACTGCACTGGATTTTGACTCCACTGAAAGATGCTTGTTATTCCAAAGGAAAGGGTTTTGTTTCATAGTCTTTCACAAAAATATATAAACTTTCTCTGACTAAATCTTATTTCACACAGAAATGTTGAAATTGGTTTTCAAGTTTCATGAAGTTCAGACTGCACAGGCCCAGGTTTTAGCCATGCAGAACCTGCAGTGTGTAATGGCCTAAAAATAGGTGGGAATGTGCAGTACTTCATCCCTGGGCACAAGCTCGTACTTCGGAGCTTATGGGAGCAGCTTGTTTTGTCAACATTTTGGACTTCACTCAGAGCGCAGCTCCAACATGAGCTGTTCACTGTCAGATTTCACATCCATTCTGCCTTTAACTGTGCTGAGCAGAAACAGCACAGGGCCTAAGTATGTTTGATCGTCTTTTCAATATAGAGCTTTTAAAATATCTCATCTGAAAAAAAGAACTTTATTCAATTAACTTGGTTGCTTGTTTTTGCATTTTCCTTTCTTTGACGTTGACTGATCAATAGCTTTGCAATTGGATATTAGATGATCTCTGGAAGATTCTCCAAAAAATCTATCTCGTATGATTTGATCAATAATCACCACTGGCTTGGCAAAACCACGTCTGCATTTCACGTCCGGCCCAACACCAGGTTCTTGCATAGGTGTGTTTCAGAGAGACACATACTTGACTTTGTAAATGTGTAACCTAACTGTGAGTGTTGTTGCCATCATCACCTATTTTGAGCTTTTTTGAATAAACTACTGTCACTGATGTTTTATAGATGTATTGAGAAATATGATTGTTGTACAAGCTCGAGCTATATATATTTATCTACTGAAACTGCTTTTTTAAAATTAAACAATCACAAACAGATGTTTCGACTCAGTTTTGTTCGGTGCCACCCAAAATATTTAGTTCAGTGGGGTGTTTCTTGTTGCACTGATGCCCTCTAGTGTAATACTAGCATACTGTTTACACTCCTGTTTTTTTTAGCATGTGACAAAATTCATTGTACAACAATACACAAGTAAATGCTAAAGTAGTATGAATTTAAAAAGTGGTGTCCAGTTATCTTATAAATGTATTTAAAAAGGTTATTTTGGATTTTACGTAGTGTTGTTTTAGTTTCATTGAGATACTATTAAAGTTTTTCTTAATATTGTGAATCGGTGTATATATATATATATATATCATCCCCTTTAAAATAATAAAATTGTGTTGCTTTGCAGCCTGAAATGCAGACGGACATAGTTTTTGTTTTATCCAGATGTATTTACTCAGTGCAACTTATAACCAAGTGAAAGACATAACATGTTAGAAAAAAAATAAAAACCAATCACTGAGTTGGAAAAAGGATCAGCCCCTTGTGTCAGTATTTTGTTGAACCACCTTTTGCTTCAATTACAGCCTTTAGTCTGTTAGGATTTGTCTTTACTAACTTTGTACATCTAGGCTTTGCCATATTTGTCCACTCTTCTTTGCAGAACTGCTCAAGTTCAGTTCAATTTGATGGTGAGCCTTTGTGGACTGCAGTCTTCAAGTCATTCCACAGATTTTCAGTGTGGTTTAAGTCTGGGCTCTGACTAGGCCATGCAAGGACACATTCACCTTTTTCTCCTTCAACCACTGTGTGCTCAGTTTTGCTGTGTGCTTTGGGTCATTGTCATGTTGGAACCTTCTAATTGACATCTTTTAGGGCAGCAGATTTTCCTTAAGAATTTGATGGTATTTTACCCTATCCATTTTTCCTACTATCCTGACAAGTGCTCCAGTCCCTGCTGCAGAGAAACACTTTTTCCAACTCAGTGTTTTCGTTTTTTTATTTCTGACATGTTGGTGTTTTATCTTTCACTTCGAGTAAGTACAGTAAAATTGTATGAGTAAAAATTATATATAAATAATTTGAAATTGAAATGTATGGAAATTCATTGTACTGTGGGGTACAGTATTACAGTTGTAATGGTAAATTACTTACCATGGTAACCATGGGACATCTGAGAGCCAAACAGTGCTGTCCCACAGTAAATGCACTGCATTATTCATTAGCTGCTACTGTGTGACAGGCAGAGCACTTGCATGGAGCTACTACACCACCAGGTAAATGTTTATTTTAAAATATTCAATTAGCAAAGAAGATCTTCACTTAGCTGCTTATATCAAACATTTTAATATTATTCCATAAATGTCGGTATGAAAAATCGTTTGACCTGACAACTGTTTAAAAGCTAAAATTAGAGTACAGTAAAAAAAAATTAGAATGCATTCATATATATTGACGTATTCTATTACAGTGTAAGAAAAATGGCGTCTATACTGGAGGATGGCTTGATAAAAACAAGCTCAATAGAGCAGGTGGTGGCCCCTCTGTCCTCTCACCTGTGTCGTCTCATCCTACTGTGCGGGAGCGAGACAGAACTGGATGAATTCACCCAGCTGGAAGCTGCAGCTAAAGCGGTGGCCAAAGCATCCAAAAACATGGCAGCTGTAGCAACAAGGTCAGTTGCATGTATCTTTCCTGACAGGATAGAAAGTGAAGCACATAAATATTTACATTACAAAAATTATATTTAGTAAAATAAATGCTGACATGAAAGTTGCTTTGCCTCATTAAAACAAAAACAGAGATAATTGTATATATAGTTGAAAAAGGTGCTTTGTTGCTTAAAGAAAAAGTACCCAGACAGCACCATGCTAAAGTGAGGGAATTAGGTGGTAATACTATAGTGTTACTATGGTACATGTACAAAAAAAAACAATAGCTTGGTACCAAAAACATACCATGGTATTGCATTGTGGTTTGTTCTAAATTATGGTACATGTACAAAAAAAAACAATAGCTTGGTACCAAAAACAAAAACATACCATGGTATTGCATTGTGGTTTGTACTAAATGTGTTACTGGGTACACAGAAGGTGGACATTCACATTATACTTCATATCCTTGCTTTTAGGTTAGTGGAGGATACCGATGATGATATCCTGAAGATGGAAATGGATCCACTCGTGGAATCCCTGACTGTTTCTGGTCAGCACGTGCTCCTGGCCACCCAAAAGCTCAGCATACAACCGGAGATCATGGAGCACAGAGAAGAACTCATTGAAGCCACTCAAAATGTGCTGTTAGGTGTGGTCAAGGTAATAATTGTTTTATTTGTAAAGAAAAAGAATTGCATGAAGAAATGAGGGAGTTACGAGATGTGTTCTTTATCCTGCAAATGAACTCAGCTCCTGGAGGGCCACAGTCCTGCAGTTTTGTTCAAACTTCCAACCTAAACTACATACCTGTAGTTTTCAAATAATGCTGGAGGACTTGATTAGCTGGTTCGGGTGGATTTAATTAAAGTTGAAGCTAAACTCTGCAGGACTGTGGCTCTCCAGAAACTGATTTTGGCCTACCTGACCTTCACGGTTATGTCTAGAACAGTGTTTCCCAACCTTGTTCCTAGAGCAGAGGTCTCCAGCCCTGCTCCTGGACAGCTACCTTCCTGCAGATTTCTGTTCCAACCCCAATCAAACATAGGCTATCTGAACTAGCTAATCAAGGTGTTTAGGGTTATTTGATAATTACATGTAGATGTGTTTGAGCAGGGTTGGAACTGAAGTCTGCAGGACGGTAGCTCTCCAGAAGCTGGGTTGGATTTCCCTTACCGCTTTTCCACTGGGGCTGGTGCTCGGTCAAGAGTGGCACTCATTCAGAACTGGCTCACATTTCCACTGGCAGGGAGCAGAACCCTCTACGTCACAAACGTATGACCGGAATCGCTCGTTACCTCTGCAGGAGGAGAGCGTTGGTCTCTTCAACCGACCACTGCTGAACTGACATTTTTAATTGTTGTTGTTAATGCGGTTAATTTACCTGAACTAAGAAGGCTTTTAAAAATGGCGCCTTTCAAACTGCGGTCTGTACACTGGCCCAGGATTTTTTTGAGTGGAAAAGCTCAGCCTGGTTCCCAATTGGGCACCAGCTCTGGCACCAGCCCCGGTGGAAAAGTGGTACCAGTCCTAAAGGCACCCCAACAATACAGATTTCGGATGTCTCCCTTATCTGACCCATCAATTTCAGGTCTTGGAGTCTCTGTTAATGAGCTGATGAGTTTCTTCAGGTGTTTTTGATTAGGAAGAATTCTAAACCGTGTAGTGTTGGGCTTTGTCCCAAATGGCACACTTCATGTTCACTTTCGGTCTTGCGGAAGTACAATAGCCATCGCATGCATGTGTCTGTTAAGTTCACAAGACCACAGGGTTTCCCATTTGTTGTTTTAGCGTTTAGAAGGGTGCTCTCGAGCAATATGAGCTATGTGCCCTCAATGTGCATTTCTGCCAAGCCCAAACTGAGGTGAGCTACGCAGCAGACTTCTACCCGACAGTCAAAGGGGCATTACATCAGTGTGGACTCGGAGGAAGACCGCAAGGGCGATTTGGGACAGGGTCTTGGAGTGCCTCCAGAAACAGGCTTGGGAAACACTTGTTTAGATGACAATTTTCATTCTGTGTAAAGACCTGAAAAAGTCATGTGGCATTCCTAGTTTATTTAGAGTCATGCTGCAACCCTATCCCTAACTCTAAACCTGTCTAGAACAATATTTACCACCAGCCTCTGTGATTGAAATGCCTCCAAAATAATGGATTCCATTTGTTTTTGGTCTCTATAGATCCTTCTAGTGGAAGATGATGCGACCATAAGGAAGATTACTGCAGCTGCTGATTGGCTCTTGCAGTGTCTTACTCAAGTAGGAGCTGCAGCAGACATATCATCCTTGTTGAAAGCATTTCAAGTATACTCAAAGGCAATGCCGCTTCTTCACAACTTGGTGGCGGAAAGAATTCAGGATCTGCGTGACACCAAACAACAGGAGCATTTGAGGGCTTCTCTAGAAACCCTGAAGAAATGTGTTTCCATGCTGCACACTGCCATGTACACGACCATCAAACATCCACACAGCGAGGAGGCACAGACACTGGCCCAGGATTTT